CTGCCTCTTGAACAGTTTCAACTTCCACAGTCCTGTCTGTGTAATATATGCCAAAAGAACGAAGCCGTCTATCTAGAGTTCGAATGCCCCAACGATAGTTTGGAAAATATATTTTTTGTTCAATATTTGATCAATTACAGAACTGGCTGTCGTTTTGCTTCTGTATTTCATAAAAAATGAGATGAAAGGGAGTTTAACGTCCTACTTTCTACATCTCTTTAAGTTATTGAGGACTGGAAAGCGCCACTTGTATACAATGTGGTCTGAGGCCTTAATAGACTCTCCGGCTCTACTTGAAAAAAAGAGGCCAGTCAACTTTTTATTACCATTTTAAATTACTTTGATTTTTTTTTTAAATCAATTTTTTTTTTAAATTGATTAGATTTTCAAATGAAACACATTTCAATTTTATTTTCAAATGAAAAACATTTTAATTTGATTTTCAAATGAAAAACATTTTAATTTGATTTTCAAATGAAAAACATTTTATTTATTTTTTTTATTATTGTTTTTTCATTTTATTTGTCTTTTTCTTTTGTTTTATTTCAATAATTTTTTAATTTTTTTAGGGATTTAGGGATGGCAGCCCTGGGCCACCATAGAGGTGATAGTGAATACTTGTTCTTTATATGACATTTTTAATCACGATTTTATAATCATTTTTATATATAATACCTTTTTCTAGGAGTCTTTTTAATATACAATTCACTTCATTATATTGTCTGTCTGATCGATGACCTTCCTTAATTGCCGCTAATATTATTTGTAATCTATTAAGTCGTTGTTGTTGGATAAAAATGTTATACCTTGTCCAGATACCATATTTTCGACTTCGTCTATTTCGTGTGTGATTGAAGTATCATCTGCTGCGTCAACTTCATCATATCATATCCATCACTAATAACTTTTTTATATATATATATACATGTATATTTCAACTTCTGTCGATCTTCTTGTTTTGGGTCCTGACTTTCTTATTGCATGTAGAAATTTTGAGTATGCTACTAAATCCTTGTAATCGACAATGCCAATATACCCGCCATTCATTAAATCTATTAATCCCTTTCTTAATGTAAATAATTAAACAATAACCCCACATCATCAACGATTGGTGTAATACTCTTTGGAAAATGTGGTTCAGGATTTGAAAAATGAAGATTTATATCATCTAATGTCTTAATTATAATACCACTATATTCATTCGGTTTTGGATCGGATGATCTTTATGAGGCGTGGGTTCTATACGAGCCGTGGGTGAATATTCTAAAGCTTTTTAATATCCTCTTGAGTTTTAATATTAGTTAGAAATAGAGTTTGTAGATTTTCTGTTAATCCAAGTTGAAATTTGTTATTTTCAACTTGGGTCTTTATTTTATTCTTAGCTTTGATATAGTCTCTATTTCTTTTTAAAATATTATTCCAATCGCTATTCATTTTAAAAAAAATGAAATTAACATATGCCGATTAACATATAACTCTTTCACCCGCAGGTTTTCTTCCAATTACGTAATTACCCCAACTATTATTATCAACGGGATTATTGTACCGAAGTACTCGTTTTTCGAATCCATGATTAGCTGCTCGTTCTACTCTTTCTATTGTGTTTCGAGCAATAGCTCTCATTCTATCTTCATTTGCAACATTTCGTACTGGTTCTTTTAAAACACTTCCTTCGCCAACATCGGGTATCCAGTCTGAGACTGAATCGAAGTCTTTAGGATATAAAACTGTTTTCAACATTGTATCAAATTCCCCAGGATGTTTAATGGTGTCTATAGGATTTAAACCAACTTCCAAAACAATCTCGCTGATAAAGATGGAAAGAAATTGTTTTCTAACGTTGTATTTGTTTGTGGAACACGATTTTCATTGGGAGTTCCATCTTTTATTTTGAAATCGCATCTGAAATAAGCATCGGAAAGAAGCAACCAATTTGATGATGAATTTATTTCAAATGTAATTCTACCACCATCATTCAACTGGGATTTTGAACCAACAGTCGGTGAGATGATCCTCTTTTTTCTTGTTAAATGAGTAACGAATCGGATGTTAAATTTAAAGATTAGATCTAGTATGTAATTTTTATTTGCCATTTTTAAGGTTTAAAATTTGAGTAGAAATTGTGGTATGTTTTTCCAAACAAGAGTTATCTTCTACAGAAGTTTCTAGAGAAAAAATAGAGACTCTATTTAATAAAACTGTTAAAAAACGATGCTATAAAAAAACCGGATGTTAAGCAATCAAGAAAGTTATTTTGTATGAGGGATTTTTAATATGCTGTGTTATTTTTTTCGTTAATTATTCTAAATGAAAGGGATTATAGGATTCTGATCAAGTTTTATTTTTGATAGTACAAGATGTTGGACAGAGGACGTGTCTGTTTAAAAAATTTGTGATTATTTGCGATGATTTTACGAGTGTTTTTATGTTATGACCTATATATAGTCAACAATACCGTTATTTACTTCTTTGTGTTAATTTATTCATATACTTAATGAGTTAATTTAAATATGAAATGTAAGGTGAATAAGTCTTTTTTTTTTGTAGGATATAGATGTCTTTTTGGGAGCTTATAGATTGGATGAACTTTTCCCCATGGAATGAACTGAAAAAAACACATGTCTATCAGATGAAGGGCTATAAGCCAAGTTATACATCACATTTATGTAATTGAATTGAGCCCACATTTGAAAATTATTTGAACGTGGATTCAGTTTGACTCGCGATTGAATTCAGCTTCTCAAATCCGTCTCTTAGAAACGAACATGCTTTGAAAATGAACATAATGATTGCCACAATTTGTTTGAAATTTAATTCCAATTAACTACGGAGTTATCACAATTGTTCCTGCAAAATGGAACCTTTTTTTTAAACACAATGCTCTCCTGCATTTTGAGACCCCTTTTTTTAATACATGTCAATTTTTTTCTGGGCCTGTGGTTGAGCCATTGGAAAGTACTTTAATTTATTTAGTAATATTATTTCAAGACAAGAAAATGTCCTTAGATTTCTAAATATTGAGTTAAAAAATTTGAGGTATTCTGTGAATATTTTCAAAAACAGCAATCGAAATCTCATCTTTATTATTTTTATGTTTGAAATGGCCTTTTCTGGAGAACCTCTAAGTTTCGGACATTTCTTTAGGATCGTCCTGGCGGACTCGGCATATCGTGATCGAAAAGGAAAACCATCATAAGAAATGTAAAGCATACTGCAGCAAAAATCTTGAATCTCATCTATACATGATCTTATCTAATTTTAAGACATAATTTATTTGAATGTCTGGGCATGTAATAACTCAGCAATTCCTATGTCAATGTAATGTCATTAAAATTAAATCTCCTATCTAGTTCGCTACCCGGCTACGTCATTGACCTTATTCCGCACAACTAAGATCGAAGCTATTTTGGTTGCGAATAAAGCTTGTTGTAGAACCTTTCCTCATAGCAATCTCACACAGTTAAGGTTGTGTGGTAATAAATGGTGATCGAAGGTTCTAATCTTGAATGATACTTCTGATTCAAGCTATTAACAGCTCCGGAATTCCAGGAGGTTTTTCCATTTACTAGCTCGTTGAAAAACGATTAGACACTTGGGTAAAAAGGTTGTAGTTCAGAAATAACTTAGAAACTTAGTTCATCTTGACTCCACTACGGTAGTTAGGCTTCTGTAGAAACTGAACATGCCTACATTCCAATAGTCGTAATAGTTTCCACGAGTCATCGTTTGTAGATCACATATTACTACTTTCGTATCAAATAAATCCTTATGGCTTGTGGAACTTGTTATTATGACATCACCTAGGATTGACACAATCTTTTTATTCAGTCAATTACAAAACATTCGTTTGATTATGATGATACATTATGTTTGAAATCGTCTTGTTCAATAACATAAATAGATATGGTCAAACCCATGGGCAGTTCAATTTACTGAAAAGATAAATATCAAAATGAAAACAAATCATCACCAATTACATAACATTATATAAAGGAGAAACACTCCTGGGTAAATGCGGGAATGATCTCTTTTTTCTTCAGGAAAAATGTATACTGATAAAATAGCTGATGTTGACGTAGACTATTGTATGTATCATGCTAAAAAAGGACTACATTAAATTTTCTGTCATGCTTCTTGTGGTGAGGTGTTAACAATCTAGTTGATTGAGGCTGCTAATCATATTGCTCTATATGAGCGCTTTGTCCTGGTCATTGCTACTGATCGCATAAAATGCTTTGAATTATAATTGGAACCCCCCACCCCCGCCCCTCCAGCTTTTACTCTATCCTTAATTCGGTTGTTCAAGGTTTAAGATGGTAACAAATCAGCTATGACATCGACAAACTTCTTTAAAAACAAAAATTCTTCTTATCCGGAGAATAGGTTTAATAACTTAAAAATATTTACTTAACAAAATCACCCATATCTGATTACATCCAGTGTCCCCGCTGTCAGTGATGTAGGTAAGAGTAGCTGAGTAAAAGCGTCTAGTTGTTCGGACAATAAACAGAGGCCCTGTGTGCTACAGGATATGCACGTTAAAGATCTCTCGACAGTTGGAAGTCGAAAAAGAGCAGGAAAATGCAAAATTTTCCTCATTGCTCCCTGCATGGCGTAGCCCATCTTTATGGTACAGAAAAGTAGGACGTAAAACTCCCTTCATATCATTTCATTTCCACATGTAATCACTAACTTACAAAATCAAGATAGAGTAAGTATGTTTCAGATTTGCCTAAAATCCCTCTTTTGAGATTCAGAATTCAGTTTTAGACCCACACCTTTTGTCCTATCCACATACAGGCATGTATATATTCTTGTGTTTGCCCACGACCTACATGTATTATCTCAAAATATATTATCACAGCATCGCTAATGCCCCAGGCGGCAACAAATCTGATCATAAATCGTCTAATCGTAATTAGTGAACCAGAATCGAGATATTGACTTCATATATAAAATGATATTGATTGACCAAAAAGGATTCAACACATTCTTGACGTCGGATTTTTTCAGTCTAGAATTTGATGAATATTGGATGAGTTAATATTCAATCGTACAATATGTTTCTAGCAAGGGTTATCGTTCCGGCTTTATTGTTTTTGATAAATGTATCTGCAATTCCTTTTTTCAATCCAGATTATCATGCTAATGGAGGTATTATGTTTATTATTCTATGTTGGTGTTATTTTAATATCAATATTACTTGGCAAGCGTATTTCAGCCCCAAGACAAATAGCTGATGTTTGGGACACCCTGTGACAATTACCCATGTCCAGTATGTAACAGAATTTGCATGTCCCTCGATTCTGGAAAGCTTATGCTGCCAAAATACGCGACTATTTCCGTCCTCATTAGCTTAATATGGAGTAGAAAAGTTCGAAGTAACACCTTTTTTTTTTTTAATTTCAGACCCCATTCAATTTGAATTGGTTCACTCCAGTCATGCCGAATTGTCTAGATTCAAAAGATCTATAGATGAAGAGTTTCCCGATTTCCTACACTTCAATCTTGATGCCTTAAACACAACACTGCGCCTGAGAAAAAGTTTACGGCAAAATTTACGGCTTCTAGATTTGGTGGAAGGTTGTTTAACTGAAACCAAAGTTACACCAGCAAAGGTGAGTGATAACCACAATGAATTTGGTGCAAATATATTCTTAAGTAGAATTTAATTGCAAATTATAACCTTGAGTTCTAAACCTAGCTCGTTTCGTTAAAAATGTACATTAAAAACAATTTTAAGATCGTTTAACATAGAGATACCTTCTTGGCTGCAGCTTTTATTTTCTAAAATGGTAAAGATTTTATACAAGTTATAAAATATTTTCAATCTGTGACTATGTTGTAGGAGACCAATGTTTACGAAGATCCAAGTAATTCGGGAGACTTTATGGTTAGAAGATCCACCAATGGCGATTTCCACGTGGTAAGCAGCATTTACATTTCTTTTCGTTGAATTTTTAACTATGTGGTTCTGAACAGAGTGATATGTACCTCACTGTACAAAATGAGACCAGTTTCAACAATAAACATATAATATTGATATCTATACAATATTGCTTTCAGGCCGGTACATTTCTTCACGAAAATAAACTAAGGAAAGTAACACCGGGATCAAAGAAAAGCAGATCCCGTCGAAATGTTTTACACATTGTCTCCACTATTGATTTTCCTATTAACTTTGGAAATGATGCAATTACCAAAATACAAGCCCAATTTATTCAAAGCCAATTTCCCACATTACAGCATCCAAATGAAAAATTAGGTAAGTTATATCAGGGAAAAGGTGATTGTGAACTGTGGTTATTTGTTAATAGCCGAAACATTACATCGAAATACATTTTAAAATGAAAAACGTACTTGCAATTTGTAGTTCTGTGGGCGTAGGTTTCCCAAATTTGAAGAACCATGACGATGAAATGATCCAAAGTTACTAAAATTAGTTATAATGCAGAACTTCATGACTTCTATTAAAGGATCTTGTACCAGAGAAGTCTCTTATTTCTAGTTCTTGACATGTTGGGAGGGAATAGCTAACTTCTGCAAGCCCGAATTTTCCGATCTTCTACATATTCATAAATATGAATAATTGTTGCTAAGGATTTTAATATTGATCGGTAACACCTTCGTCTGTATGAAATAGCTCCTTCAAAATATTAAAATCAGTCTGAAATAAAATGAAACAACCCGTTTTATTAATTTGTGTAGTTCCCGAAGCTTTAGAAGTGGACAATAGAATCCGAGAAGTAAATGTCGACCAGCTTGGAACTGACCATATTGTCGAAATATTTGTACTCACAGATTATTCTGATTATCAAAGGTAAGTCATAAATTGGCGGACACATTCGCAGAGAGGTACTTATTGGTATGAAATGGCATAAAAGTTTTGTGTTAAAATAGTTTAGTAAATTAGTTTACAAATTTGGATGTGATCGATATCAAGCTACATAATAAAATTTATGTCTTTTTCAATTTTCAGCTTTTTAAAGGAAGCGGGTACATCTCGTCAAGCAAAATCAGACATGTTAGTCTACTATACATTTATTGAACAAACTGTGAGTAATATTGATAAAAGTCACAATATTCCAAAATCTGAGTTTTGTAACAATGACCAAAGAATATTTTGAAGTCAAACTTCTTATTGGACATTTATCATGCTTTTTTGGTTGATTAGATCTGTATACACAACATCTTGTGTCATGAAGTTAATTTATAATTATTTTGTTTAATCAATCGTTAACAAAAGTCAAGCTTTTATTTTTATTACAGATGAATCGGTACTACGAGTCAGTTAATAAAGTGGACAATTCGTTCAATATTATAGTTCGTTTTGTTTCAATTTATGTACCAGATGTAAGTATTGAATTCATGTGGTGATCAAAGATTTCAAATTATGTTCATATGAGTAATATTTTGTTTTGTACTAAGGAGCTCTAATTAAAGATATTTTTTCATCATCATCATCATAATTATCATTTTGTTATTGTATTATATATCCGTATGTATTATTTTCATACAGACAAGTAGCAAGGCACCATACAGTGAAGATGTTGTTCAAAATGGCGCCGTAGAGTTGTCGCCCATTATTCAGAGTTATAGAAATTATTTCAAGAATACACAAGGTGTTCCTCAAGTTGATCATTGGATGGGCTTTACTGGGTAAGTTTTAATGATACGAGTATGATTAATATATTTTATTTATAGACATGATAAGGTTTACATTTTTTTTATTTGTAGATATTGCTAATAGTTTTCATGATGCAGGCATGATTAATATTTTATTTTATCAATAGATATGAAATAGCAAATATTTCTAAATTATAGATATGATATGGTCAATACCTTTTTATATGCCCACATGGGCGTATATTGTCGTCACCCATGTCCGTCCGTCCGTACGTCCGTCGGTCCGTCCATAATTGCTCGTAAACACACTGATTTCGACGAAACTTGGCATGGTTGTTTGTAATCACCCAAGGATGATGCAAATCAGAAAAATCAAAAAAAATATTAAGTATGATTTATTGCCCTTGTTCTTGAAAATGCATTCAAGTTTTAGCTCGTAAACGCTCTAGAAGGTCGAATTATTGACAGATTTTGACGAAACTTAGTGTGAGTGTTTGTAATCACCCAAGGATGAACCCTATTGAAAATCAGAAAAATCGAAAAATATTTAGAATGAGTTATTGCCTGTGCTCTTGAAAACGCGTTCAATTTTTGGACCTTATATATTGAAGAAGGTACAATTGTTGATGGATTTTGAAGAAACTTGATGTTAGTGTTTGTTATCAACAAAAAAAAAAAAAATCAAAAGAATCGAAAAATATTTTGTTTTGTTATTTTTGTTTAAAATCAAAGCTGCCACTGGGCGTAAATTACCTTGCCTGGTAAGCTATCTTTATTTATAGATATGATATGGTTAATCAAGGGAGCTCGGGAGTTATAGGTAAATGTTTTTTTTTATTTCTATCGATTATCAAATCAGATGAAAATTCAAAACTTGGTAAAACGCTAATTATATGGTCACGATCGATAATTTACTAACAGAACAGTCCCCCAAATTGGCCATCCTTAATCCATATTTCATACCAATTTTCAGCCGAAGCAAAAAAAAAATGCTTATGAAAAATTTGGATAGGATAACATACGGACCAAAATATTCCTTATTTTCCTGGTTAATAGAGGGGGTTACTGTAAACATATTATGAAATTTAGAATACTGAATTTATCATTTGTTTTATTAATGATTCAAAAAATTGTTTACGAATATTAATGAATTTGTCACATGACATAAAGAATTCAGTTTTCCACATAAAACAGTTTTTTAAATTTGAGTGATAATGAAGTTGGCTTGCCAAAAAAACACAGGGCAAATAAAGGTCTCAAGTCTGATTACATTTATGTGATTTCTAGACAAGATACACTGTTTAATATGTATTTTAGTCCTTTATTCATTTATTGCCAAACCTTTTGTAAAAATAATGGGAATATTTCCTTTGAAATTTGTTCACACAGATTGTAATTCCGTAACGTTGAACGGAAGCATCTAAATTTCAGGTGTGGCGTATATTGGAGGATTGTGTAGTAAGGATTTACAAGTCTCCGTAAGTGAAAACAAGATAACAGGTCTCTCTGGATTGATTGTTGCTCATGAACTTGGTCACAAGTAAGTAATTTTCTTACTTTCTTCTGGTAACCGTGGCCTGAGTCTTTATATAAATATTTAGTACCGAAATTATATTTTGTCTATTATTTCATATTAACCTGCAAATGGTAATGAACATCGACTCAGTATTAAAACTAAAAAGCCACGAAGAAAAAAATTGAAATAAACGTCAGCAAGATTCGCTGACGAATAGACATTGTGGTAAGATCTGTTTTTTTTGTGATATTCCAGTTTAAATTCTGAACACGATTCCAGTCAATGTAATGATAATCATATCATGGCACCATCGGTAGTTTACCCACAGACTCAGTCTGATACCAACCCCTACTACTTCTCATCATGTTCAGTTCAAGCTTTTAAAGATTATATTTCATCAGCCAGGTAAGTTACTATCAAGACCTATTACAATCTAAATGAATGCATATCTAGATGGTGATTACAATTGATGTATCTAACATCCAAAATAAATATACAGGTATAGTGGACAATCAGAAATACACGATCGCAATGAAATGTACTTTTGTGAAACAATTTCGATGTGTATTGGTATTTTTGTGTTATTTCTTTTCTAGTGGAAGTTGTACAAAAACAATAGAGGATGCTGGTTATACGTCATACACTGAAAAACATTTAGGACAAATTTATAAAGCTGATAAACAATGCGAGTACACGAGAACCAGTGGCTCGAGGTTTTGCAGAGTAAGTGTTATATAATTACAGTTTATAGTAAGGATTCCTGTGAACCTAAGTTCCTTCCTCTTAGATCTTATAATAATTAACGCCTTTTTCACCTTTTTTAAATAGCTCATTAGCAAATCTAAGCAGCAAAACTATTGAAACCAGATACCAAGTGGATTTCACTCATATTAATTTTGTGGTGATGTAATTTTTTAGACTGGTTTCAAGTATGGGTCAGGATTCGATAATATGTGTTGGAATTTCCAATGCCAAGCACCTGGTGCCAGTTCCTGTTTTGACGTCAGAATAATGGATTTCACTACATGTGGAAACGGAAAGGTAACATTGTTCTAGTTTCAAAGTCTGACATATACCTAACTAAATATCGGAAATCATCGAGATATTCCAAAGAATATAATGTCTTCCTTTTGTTTCACTTCATCGGATAGACAGTTTATGACAACTATAGGTATTAGATCTAGACTAACACAGATAGTTTTTATTTTTTAGTGGTGCCTACAGGGAAAATGTGTGGCTTCAAGTCTGGCTCCAGCTGTTTTAGGTAATTACCATATTTTTCTATAAACATTTATAAAATATGTAGATTTATTATGTGGTGAATATCTCACCTTGAAAATCGTGACTTGTCCAAAAAGTATGGATAACAGCTAAAGATATTTATCCGATCCGGTTGACATCGACTCCTCAAACATACATCATAATAATACCTAATTTTTAAAGAATTGGTCTGTAATGTTAATATTTGTTGTAGCATCACATTCAATCCTCTCAACCAGATTTACTGTCGTACCAACACTTGTGTGCAGTTTACTTGCCCTCATGAAGGGATTTGTTATCCGATTTTAGAAATTTATTTTCCATTTTTAGAAAATTGTCCACAAGGCGATGATCCTATTGAAACATGTGAAAGAGCAAACTGTGCATCTTACAGTTCAGACAAGCGAACGTTTTCCTGTTGTGCTACCTGTAGTGCCCAAGTGGTTAGTGCAGCAACAAGCGCCACTACGTCCCCAACTATTTCGACAACCACGCCACCTACTACATCACCAACTACGTCACCTACTATCTCACCAACGACGCCACCTACTGCATCACCAACCACGCCACCTACTATCTCACAAACTACGCCACCTACTATATCACCAACTACACAACCTATTGCATCACCAACTACGCCACCTACTATATCACCAATTACACAACCTATTGCATCACCTACTACGCCACCTACTACATCACCAACTACACAAACTATTGCATCCTCAACTACACCACTTACTGCATCACCAACAATTTCAAGGACTACGCCGCCAACTTTCTCATCAACTACACCACTTACTGCATCACCAACTACGCCTCCTACTACATCAGCAACAATTCCACCGGTCGTATCTGAATCACAAGACGTCACAGCGGCTCTCGGAGTAGTTCGATACGTTAACTTTATCTGTACATGAGCACGTTTTTTTTAACTGGATCACTTGTAAATTAGAACTTCTTTTTTAATTTATTTTTTTTCTTAATATTATAGATTAATAATGATGATAAATTATATAATATATGATTGGTATTTGATTGTCATCTCTTTATTTATTATGTGCTACAGGCTGTACACGTTAAAGATCCCTCGACAGTTGGAAATCGAAAAAGAGCAGGCTAATGCCGCTGTCCTGGCAAAGTTGCCTGAATTCATTAGCCCACGTGGTGCAGAAAAGTAGGAAGTAAAACTCCATTCATTTCATTTCATTTTTTTGAATATTGCATTTTCTTTCCTATTATTCGTTTGCCGTCCTATTTTAACACTTTTTGAGCAAATTAAACACTGCTATCTCACAAGCACTGACAACCTATCTTTGGAAACTCGGATTTCAGCTTAATTTCAAAGGGTGATTGCAATGCTATGGATATTGATGATATACAGCCAAGTAACCTAATTTGGTTATAGGTGTTATAGAAGATACTCTCCTATAGAAGCACTAGCCTAGGTCACAAGTAGAGACTATGGATTTCAACATGAAAACTATTTCAATTCAAACAGAATATGTTTTACTGAAGATTATTCATAGATTATTGCTTCTGGGGAAATCACAAGAAAAAAAAATATTCAACTCAAATTCCAATGCAATTGTTTCAGGAAGTTGATGAAAGGGGCTCTAATCTACCATGAACCAATACATTACTAAAGTTTTTATTTCTTTTATATTCAGTGACCAAACGTTTAGTATAAACGTTTGGAAATTCATCTTGGAGCTCATTATAAAAGCGTTTGACAATGACAGAGACATTTTTAGCTGTAGTATTGTAGGTGGCAATGAAGGGTATGATTTGGTTGTCATATTGGATATTTAGGCTGTTAGGTATGACTGTTTGTAGTTGGTCTATCCAAAAACTCTCCCTTTGCAATCGCTTGGTTTTTGGTTTGATCAATGTTGATACAGGTACTTTTTCTACAGACAAGATCTTCAATGGAATGATTGGGTAAATTGAAATGATTGACAATCGGTCTGTCTTTCTTATGGAGTATATCGAAGCGATGGCCGCTAAGACGAGTACGCAACGCGTACGAGTTTTCGAAATAGTGAGATACATTTATATTTTCGCAGGTACGACACCTACAACCTCCACATGGAACAGAACCGAAACCGTTAGGTAGGGGAGGGGAGTCAGGTTTCTTTTCAATGGCCGAAAGAGTGTCGATTTTAATTATGCGCAAAAAACGTTTCGAATATCCCCTTTACCTCAATTTACTAAAAACTAGGTCACGTGCTGAATCAAAAATCGGTTTTTCTAGTGCAAATTCTGTTGAATCTCAGAATTTGCGATTTAATGACGCCAGAAAATGTTGGTGTGAAGGGTGTTGGTTATTCAAAATTTCGAAATACTCCCAAAAGTTTGCCAAAGATTCCGTCCAAATGATAAAAATATCGTCTAAAAACCTCCCATAGAAGAGAGGTTGAAAGGGGGAAATTAATGAGATTTCTCGTTCCCATTCTGCCATAAACATGTTCGCATAACTCGGCGCGAACCGTTTCCCCATCGCAGTGCCAGAAGTTTGAAGATAAATTTTTCCGTTGAAAGTGAAGTCATTTCGCGTGAGACATAGTTCTAATAAATCTAATAATTTGGTGCTAAACTATTTTTCATGCATCTCCAGAAATGGCAAGTTATTCACATTGGCTGGTTTTGAAAAACATGGGTTATCTGTACAATGTCAGGTATTAGCATGAATCCAGTAGTTTCAAGCAAGGTAAAATGTATTAATGTATATACTTTGACAAATGCAAAATGACACAATTTTTTTCGGCTGAATTTCCCTATAATCCCAAGCTGTAAACGGAATTCCAATTGTCACCTGCTAGAATTCCAATGAACGAAGTTAAACTAGCAGATTCCGTGTCAGCAGAAAAATTCTGTGTTTTTCTCGACTTACTTATAGATCAAACATTGTTTGTCCTAATTTTGTTAATTCAGTGACGAGTGGTATTTAAATCTTTTGCCAAACATATACCCATTACAGAATATCTTTGAATTTAATACACAATACAAATTCAAACAATTCTATAAGTTTCTTACAATGAATTATTCCCCCTTAACTATTCTGCTTGCAACCTCTTATCGTCCCATAAGTGTAACAAACACACCTAGTGGGAGGTTAGAGGTGTCCACCATCACACAGTCCCTCTGAAAGTGTCCACTGCTCTGAAACTTTAGTGATTCAACCTTTTGGTTTGGAGAATTAAATGATTTTTTAAATCTATTCACCTCTTCATTTCTTCACAACTTAAAATTCCCCAAAAAAGAAATATGACGGATTTTTCTTATATAAAGGGAAATAAACTTCCTCGTGTTTATGCGTCTCATAATATGATAAATCTGTGAATTTATGAGCCAAAAATATACCGGATCTGAAGAAACCGTTAACAATTTAACCCAGTAATTCTATTTCAAAGGTATCTCGTATGATAATAGAATCAGATTATAATTTGACCGTAACAATATTTCAGTGTACCAAATTTAGACTTGATTACGTATTATACTCATGGTGTCGACTTAATTGTCGATTTTAATTTTCGTCGCACGAATAGGGCCTATTTGATTATGGCAATATACCAATCTGTTATTCCAACTGTTCCCAGTTGCTTTAAAACAATTTGAAATCACACGACCTCTCCAGGGGGTGCCACTTAATACCCATCAACCATCATGAGGCAAATCGGTGGAAAATTTTCCAATGCACCTTACGTAATTCTTAGAAATTTAAAAACAATGGTCGTCCGTTATTAACTTCTAATTATTTTGATCGATTTGTTGTTGTTACGTCACTCTCAAGTTGTCTTCAGAATCATTCCCCTTTAATTCAAGCCGCTCTTCAATTAGAAGGTCGAAATCTCCTTAAAGACAATTAATTTCCGCTCACTTCCTGTGCACAAGAGATTTCAAGTAGCGAATCAAACAAGGGCAGATAACTGTCAAATCCACTTTAAAATTTATGTTTTGATTACTACGACAAGTGTATAAAAAGATTAATATGATAAAGAGTTTAAATATTTTAGCCAATAAGATTTTCAATTGGTACAAATGCTTAAGGATCAACTAATCGAAATATACATTGCTTTCTAATATCCAATAAAAAATCAGCATACGTAGTCATTATCTACCAGAAATACGAGGTGTTATCAGGATTAGATTTTTAATGATCCTCAATAATGAAGGTATTTTATTTTAATGAATACGCCCTGCTTTTTCAACAAGATAAGACAAGAAACATAGAAAATAATTATTTAAATGTGTAAAATTAGCCCCAAGACATAAGACTTATCGTGTGTACAACTGCTAACAAGGTCTGCTTTTTGTTACTGATATAGGGGCTTGTGGGGTGATAGAACAACATACAGTCTCATGTACACCAATATCTTCATTCTCAACTATTTGCAATATATTTTGGCGATAATTAGTCCAGTCCATTTTGTTCCAACTATTCAAGGACAACAACAAATCGTTCTGAGAATTTTTTTAGTATCTTTGGAATATTATTTCATAATATGTTCAAATATAAATAAATCATTCATAAATAAATCATTCTTCGTTGCTAAAGTCTGATTCGAGGCCATAATTTTTTATCTATCGCAGCTAACTAACGGACTGTATTTCGGAATTTTCATTTAAAAATAATCGGATATGAATCCATGAAAATATGACTAGGAACCAACCGAGGCACACCTTACTAGGTCGACATAGAAATAGATATTCTGCATGAAATGACAATCTGGCTGGGCAGCATTACTTTTAACCTTGTTATATTTGTATATTTATATGCTCTATGTTGTGTGACACTTTAAAAAATAAATTATTATTATTATTTGTCACTGGACCTTTACGTGCACAGTCCGAAGTTCGTCATTCAGACGACACTTGTTTTCCATGTCAATCCACTAATATTTATCACTGACCGCGAAAAATTACACCATCTTTTCAAAATATTAATCATTGACTGATATTTAAGGGGGATAACCTAATGACAATTTACTTCAATTTCTATGGACTCAAACCGGTAATTTATTTACCATCTGTTGCCATGTTAAATCACGATATTCAACTTTCTATAATTTTTTCCAGAAATCTTGAAAACTTTCAAATATGTCACATAAAAGCCTGACCAATACCTAATTTCTGGACAAAAATTCAATATATCATGTCCATGAAAATCTTGAGCTAGCCAAACTGAAAGTAGACCATTACATTTTATCAACATCTGCTTGACTGGCACTGCACACAAAACAACTATATCTATATTTATCCTTCTGCATGACATTTTCTCATCATCTCACAAAATCTGAAAAAATGCAATTTCAGGCATCAAATTCCAAATCTATACCAAAAATTAGTCAAAAATAGGCATGCAAAAACCCCTAAAGGGAGGGAGAAAGAGGATTTTTAACAATAACACGATACAATCATTTACATAAAAAGTTTTGGTGGTCTGTACTAGCTTAAAAACAGTAATGCCATACTTTTCTCATCCGGTAAATATTTTGTAAATTGTCAAAAAGTATTGAAATGCGTCTATGTATATTATACACTGAGAACGACACCGATATAAAAACTTGAAAAAACAAGTTTGCTAATATGTTTCTCGATTACCGATAATCAAACTTATTGCCTAAACTGCAGGATCATCAAAAATGAAAGTGGGAACATGCTGCGGAATTTAAAACCACTCTGGCATGATCGAGCGATTTGAAAAAATGTGCTTATTTCTTTAAATTTTGAGGGCTTCTTGCGCAAAGATGTCCGGACGTTTTCAAATTAAAATTAAATTGATACGGAGAATAACTTGAATTGGGATTTTGAAAATATTCAGAAACATGGGCAAAGTTACCATCAAATGTAATATGAAGTAAATATCTATTATTGTTATGATGTTGCTGACCAAATATCTGAACTAACAACATTATTTGCTTAAGTTAGAAGTAAAGGGGGATGCCACGTGCCTCACGAGTTGTGTCTTTTGAATGTATAAGTTCTTATTTCTTGTTTGGTATCATTGAAGGGGAAAGTGTTGAATTGTAAGG